CCGGCCCAAATCCCCCAAAGCGCCCCGAACCCCGAAACCGGCCCCAAAACCGGCCCCAAACCCCAAAACCGGCCCCAAAACCGGCCCCAAACCCCAAAACCGGCCCCAAAACCGGCCCCAAACCCCAAAAGTGACCCCAAACCGGCCCCAAACCCCAAAACCGGCCCCAAAAGTGACCCCAAACCAGCCCAAACCCCGAAACCGGCCCCAAAACCAGCCCCAAACCCCAAAACCGGCCCCAAAAGTGACCCCAAACCGCCCCAAACCCCAAAACTGGCCCCAAACCCCAAAAGTGACCCAAATCCCCCCAAACCGGCCCCAAACCCCAAAACCGGCCCCAAACCCCGAAACCGGCCCCAAAACCAGCCCCAAACCCCAAAAGTGACCCCAAAACCGTCCCCAAAACCTGCCCCAAAACCGGCCCAAATCCCCCAAAGCGCCCCAAACCCCGAAACCAGCCCCAAAACCGGCCCCAAACCCCAAAACTGGCCCCAAAACCGGCCCCAAACCCCAAAACCGGCCCCAAAACCGGCCCCAAAAGTGACCCCAAACCGGCCCAAACCCCGAAACCGGCCCCAAAACCGGCCCCAAAACCGGCCCAAATCCCCCAAAGCACCCCGAACCCCGAAACCGGCCCCAAAACTGGCCCCAAACCCCAAAAGTGACCCCAAAACCGGCCCCAAACCCCAAAACCGGCCCCAAAACCGGCCCCAAACCCCAAAAGTGACCCCAAACCGCCCCAAACCCCGAAACCGGCCCCAAAACCGGCCCCAAATCCCAAAACTGGGCCCAAACCCCAAAACCGGCCCCAAAAGTGACCCCAAACCGGCCCAAACTCCAAAACCGGCCCCAAAACCGGCCCCAAACCCCAAAACTGGGCCCAAACCCCAAAACCGGCCCCAAAACCAGCCCCAAAACCGGCCCCAAACCCCAAAAGTGACCCAAATCCCCCCAAACCGGCCCCAAACCCCAAAACTGGCCCCAAAACCGGCCCCAAACCCCAAAACTGGCCCCAAACCTAAAAATGGCCCCAAACCCTAAAACTGGCCCCAAAACTGGCCCCAAACC